TGTGTGTGTGGCCAGCTCAGCCCACCAGGGGGCGGGGCTGGCTGGCATGTGGTGCTGGGGGATTGAACCGCGGTCCCTGTGCTTGCCAAGCTTGTTCTAAGTAGGTGCTTTAGACCACTGAGCCATCTCTCCAGCCCTGAATTCCTTTATCTTAAAAGCAAAGTTGTGTAGACATGACTCCCTACTCTCTCAAATCCATCTTGGTCAGATTTGTCTTGCCGCCCTTCCGGGACTGCCGCAGAAGTCACTGTCAGTCCCTCTGCCCAGCAGCTGGTTCTCAGTCATCTCTTAATTAGCCTGGCTTCAGGTACCATGTGGCAGGTTCCTCCTTGCTCCCTGGATGCCCTGCTGCTCTCCTCTGCTGATTGCTTTTTATCCTTTTTCTTGCCTCTTACCGCTGGAGGGCCTCAGATCTTGGCCTTTGACTTTCTTCTTCCTATGCTATTCCCTTGGTCATTTATTCCATCATTTACCCAGTGGCCTTGTGGAATTCTTCACTGCCATGTGCTAAGTGAGTATCATCTGATCATTCCCCCTTTCCATGTCTTTCATCTCATTTTCTTTAGAAAATCCCAGTGTCTGTCTTCTGAACCTTTCTAGAACCATGCTTACCTTTCCCAGCACTGCCATCCTGGGCCCGGTTCCAGCATCTTTGGTTTGGATCACTGGGAAAGCCTGCCTGCTGATGTCTCTGCTTTTGTAGCAGACTGATGTATATCAGACTATATTATTGTGTGTAAGTCTATTCAGAAGTTTTCCCTCCTACCAAGTGTAAGCACAATTCTAGAAGTCTCTGTTCCTGCACTGCACTCATGACTTTGGCTCTTGCTTGTTTTCACCAGTGAGTCCAGCTCTTCCCCATCCTGAGTACTTCTCTCCAATTTTCCCTGATTACTCTCTTACCCTACTCAGCTTTCAGGTGTTGCCATCTTTGGTTTGTCAGTCTCCCAAAACCCTTATTACCGCCTAATATTGTATGCATTGTTTGTTGTCTGTTCATATGGAAATGTAAGCACTGTGAAGTCACAGGTTTTTTTTTAAACTTACTATTGCATCCTTAGTATATGGAACAGTGTGTGGCATAAGGGACTCATTAAATTGGCTGGTGAATAAATTTTTAAAAACCTACTTGTAAAATATTTTAAAACTACCCTCTTTGGAGAACAGAGCTGAGTATCTTCTTTCATTATTGTGAACATCATTCCTGTGAAAGCACGAAACTATTTCTGTGTATAGATTAGCTTTGTAGAATTAATTGACCTATTTTTTACAAAATTGTACCCACAATTGGTGATTGTAACAATGATTATAATTCAGAAACTCAGTTTTGAATTTTCATGTTTTAATCAAATACCAAATAATTAAACTAGCACTAAAGTTATTATGGCCATTCCAGATGTCTTAAAGGAAGTTGATAATTAGTGAACATTCTACACAAAGGAATGGCCTCATTAAAATGAAATTTCTGGTTCTTACTCCAAACCTCAAAATGCCTAGAACTCTAGATTTGTATTTCTTATTTTTCAGAGGTTTGACATGCTGAGAAGATGGTTATAGTTTTGTACATCTGTACAA